AAATAAATGCTGTATTTCCTAACATATCCTTGCTAATTAAGTGTATTGACTAGAACTATCGTTATTATAAGGATTATCTTCGGGAAAAAAAAAGAGAGATATGAGAGACAAAGCGAACTATAATCTTATATTTAAACTAAAATAAAAGTCAAACAAACTCTTATAATGAACTGAAAGTAGTATTTTTTGAAAGAGAGAATGAGCAGGAAATTCCGTGGCATAAAAACCGTGTGTTTGGCTCCTGGTTTTTTGTTTTGTTTTTTGGGTCAAAAGCTTGGGTCCTGGTTTATTGCTAAATATAAAACGTAAGTCTTCATTCTCAGTTGTTAGTGTTACCTGTCAACACCTTTGTCGGGTTTCATGTTAAATCAATTCGCACCACTAATTTTTAGGCCTTTTAGGGTACGCATAGCTAACGTATCGCGTTCGTATTGAACACAGCCCCCTCCTTCCTTTTGTCTTTTCGTATGATCAAAGATATTTTTTAATACGCATATCTTGCTCAATTAGGTACCCCCTAAAAGTTCGTTCTCCATCGGAGGCAGCGAGGAAGAAACCTAAATGACACGACAAACTGACAAAGTATGAACACATGACACACATATATACCCCCTTCGACTCTTGTCTTTTAATTTATTCATACATGAATAGTTTATTGTCATGTTACCAAATCTCTCCACAAAATTTCATACCTGATACTTGCAATTTCCTAGAAATATTGCAGATCCCACGTTCCTTTTTTGTTTTGTTTTTTTTCCTTCCAGCTAGCTCCCTGCCGAATGACCACAGTACTACTTATTACAAGGAACATGCTCGAGATCGAATAATTGTATGTTGTTGCAGATCCCATGTTCGATTTTTTTTCCCCGCTTCTAGCTTCCTGGTTAATCAGACTTGATCGAGATTGAGATAATCGTACGTTGATCTTATAAGACAACAAAATCAGACTCTAAAAAATATAGTATAAACTTAATTGGTCCGATATTGATCAAGTCGAGCGTGATAATACAGTACAGTGGCTGATGTCGATTGATATCTGCATAACTTACCGTTGATGGTTGACCAATTATATATCTGGTGCATAATTTGTGAACACAAGTCAAGCAGGAGATCAAATTAGTTCATTAAACGAAACAGAGAAAATATATATATATATAATAATATATAAATATATCATGTGTGTCGTGATACAGCTTGGAGTAATTAAGATATTTTGATAGTGGTGGAGGAAAAATGACTTTTAACGGAGACCACTCTTTCAAAGTCAAAGCAGCCAAATCTTTTGAGCTGGAATCCAAGAACCCGTGTGTAAGAGAGAAGCTTTTGGGCAGTTGAGAAGTAAAGCAATAAATTTTCGAGTGGAGGAAAAGCTTTCAGAGTCTTCACCAGATTCATCACGAGTTTCGCCCATTAAAAAAAACCTAACCCTAAACCGAAAATCATGCATCGAGTGACTCCCAGAAAATACCATCGCCCACTTGATCCACTTTATGCCCCCAGTTTTCTCATATATGTTTCCCAGAACATATATTTAAATCCGAAGGATTAATAATATTCACACAAAAAAATCAAAGAAAGCGGTCGATTGATATCATCTTTACGTTAACCACTAAAAGAAAAGGCACAAATACGTTGTTCGTGGGCATCCTTATGCTTCAGAGTGCGATATTTTAAAATATTGGGTGCTATTGGTTAGAATAATCAAGCTGGGGGGGAATGTATAGAGGGAAAGCTAGGCGAGATCATAATATCATGAAGAAGACAGAGATAAAAGTTTGTAAAGGCAATTAAGTGAATGATTCGCCAACAAGTGGGAAGAATGGGGTAGGACCGTAGGAGTCAATGTGTAACTCTAAACCGTTGAAAGTTGATATAACAAAAGAAAAAGCCAAAGCCAACACATAGTTCTGCGGCTATGCTTAGAATATATTTATTCACCAACATTGATTGAAAATGGAATTTTGCAGCCCCTTGTTTGAAGAACCGCTGAGAATACATATATATATATATATATATATATCTCATCAAATGTGGAAAGCGTGGTTATAATACATGAAGTGGCAACTTGCAAACGAATTAATAAGCCTTTCAATTCTATTCTTCCTTATGATCATATGTCCAACTCAGATACAACAGTAGGACAAGGATCGATGCTTTAGAACCATAATAAAGCCGTCCTGTTGCTTATATAAGTGCAAGCTAGCCACCAGGAATTAAAACTATCCAAAAGGTACATAAAAAAAGGGGGATCAGATTACGGAATGGCATCTTCTTTATGGCTCTGCTATAGTAAACTAAGTTATCAGATTCAAAACCACTTACAACAATTCATTTAATTAAGGCTTTTGGTAATTTAATTACAGAAAGATGCCCCACACACAAACACAACACACACACACACACCCACACACTTCCACAGAAAACAACAAGAGCAAATTTGGATAGATCGATGGATGTATACTTTAAGAAACTTGAGGCGTAGATAAAGAAATAGTGAAGTATAATAATGAGTGGGAGGAAGTAGAGGGAGGGTGGTCTTATCCTGAAGCATCAAGATGGGATGGAAAAAGCATTAAGAAAACGTCAAAAGAAGTGACCAATGAGAGAAGTGGAAATGGGGAAACACAGGGAAATATAAATTCGAAAGGGTAGAGAGAAACATATACTAAGTCAAAACTGAATCAGAGCTGACTCATACCGCACATATCGAACCTTCGTATGCCACAGTGAACCTCTTCTGGTCTCCTCCTTATTAGTCTACCATCATTCCTTCCCTTTTTTGCCCTCTCCAGTTTCATCCAATCACTGTTTTATTTCTGCACAATTTAGTGGCCCTCCAAAATTATATCGTGTCCCCACGGACCCAGCAATATATGTGTGGTTGTGTCTCTTCTATGTTCTTCTTTTTATGAATTAATGTCAGTTATCCTCATTTGCTAGTGCATTATATTAGAGCCATCCATTTCTCTGCATTTAATTGGGAAATTATGATATGGTGAGGTGGTAGGGGACCCACGGCCGGGGGGAATGATGACATGGACAAGATCGATCATTGTGTTCGACTTCGATCCATCACTAAATAGTATTTCCAGAATCCGATTGCCCCCAGGATTTTGATGAGGATCGAGAACCACGTGTTAGTGGGGTCCATCTGGGTTCTTTCGTTGGTGCCATCTTATGTCTTGTGGTAGACGCCAAGCCCTGATTACACCAACTCAATTAGTTAATTAAAAATCCAATGAATCAGTTGAGGAGATCCTGATTTGATTTGAGGTTTTCTTAAAATCCCTCAAAAATCAAAATCAATAACTAGCCTTTCAAGATCGATCGGTTGAGAATAAATAAATTTTTATATAATTAGCCCCAAACGGTCTAGTTTAATCGGAAGTAATTTGATGATTTACATTTAAACTAGACTTTTAATCAATGTTATTGCTAGTTCAGTCACCACCGATCATTAAAGTCAATCGAATGACACTGATAGTTGGAGAATTATACAAGCAATTAGTTTAATCACCTTCATTGGAAAAAAATCTCATGTTATCAAAAAAAAAAATTCTCAAATTTAACACATACCTTGGATGAAATTAACTAGTTGTAAGTTTGTAGCATTCGAGAGTTGGGGTGGGCAGGGCATCAACTAATACATTGCTCAGCGTAAAGACATTCCCAAATTGATATTCTTAAACTGTGATCATACTCAAGTTCAAACAACGTTATACTATCTCCAGTTCTTAATATAAAATTATGTTTGACTTTTATTTTGATCCTAAATATAAGATCTCAATTCACTCTGTCTCTTATATTTATATATTTTTTTCTAAAACTGTCCTTTCAATAATGGTAATTCTAGCTAATATAGTTGATTAACAAGAATATTTTAGAAAACACAGCATCTATTTATTATAAATAACTAACTTAACTTATTTTTTTAATTTCTCAAATTAATCAATTAAATCTTATAATTAGGACCGGAGATAGTACTTGATCAAACCAAATCCAATTTCTCCTCATTTCAATGTCGAGTTCGCCGAATAAGGTCCATTTTTTTTCTCGTTCAAAACAAGTACTCACTGATTAAATTTGGCAGGGTTGTGTGTCATATGAAATTATAGACTAATATATCCCATACATGCCCCTGTTTTTAGCACTTCTTATTATTCTCACCCAATGTCTTCCATTCACTCACAAAACATTAAAACCATCCAAATGATACACATTACTTATTTGTTAACTTCATTTAAAAGAAAAAATTTTATTCCCTTAAATTTAACTTTAAACTGTACAAGTTTAACATGATGCAAGGATTAAAACTCTTGCTTCATTGTTAGAAGAGAAAGAAACATACTCCTTCCGATTCATAGTATTCAAAGATGATGGGTTGCATGTGCACTTAGCAGCAGAGCAAAATATGCGATTCCTGTGCATATTTTTTCCAAATTTTAATTTATTTATTTTAAAAAATAATGCATGGTGCCTCTGCCAATAAAAATTCAAATGTTGGTATTGATTTTTTGAAAATATATTTAATAAATTCTGCGCATTAAATAAAAATGTTGCCAACAAATTCGTCACATTGCATTTATTATTACAGCAAAAGGATCACACGCCCTTCTTAATTGTAAAAAAAAAAATCATTACATAGAATTTTTTGGCAACAATTATTGCAAAGGATATAAAATCACGAAGAAGGAAACAAAAAGGGCCAGGCTGAAGATGAAGGTGATCCCGCCCCTTCGTCGACAGAAAATATCAGATCCCCTCAAATCGTCGAGATGGCGCGCCTAATGGGGCCCAATGCTGGCTTTCGCCGTACGTGGACCAGCCAGAGTCATACATCACAAGTGACTAAAATTAAATTAAATATTAATATTAACATTAAAATAATAAAATATTAAATGCCCCCAACAATTAACATTTGCGGGGAATAAAAAAAGAAAAAATCGGCGAAACGGCAATTAGCATTCAAGTATATAAGAATTAACAATACACTATAAACTGGCGTTGGACTTGTCCTTGTGCGCTACGAAACACGAAATCCCTCCTCAAGACGCTTAGAAAAGCGCGCAAACGGAGAGGTGTTCGCAACAAAAAGATAAAAGGCCAAACACCCTAGCCCTTCTTCTCTCGTCTTCTCGACTTAGCCGTTGCTCACGAAAACCATTCCACGTCACCGTCGCCCCAAACTCTCTCCTCCCCCCTCCCTCTGATATAACCCCATTTCTCTGTAAGTTTTTTCTCGCTTTTCCCATAACCATAAGTCGCTATGGTGTGTCTCTGTGGTAACCGCCCAGCTCCTTCACCTTCGCTTCTCTACCAACCGCCGCCACCACATTAATTGGCCTCCCCCTCTTCAGTTCCCTGGCCCAATCGGAACGTCCACACGTCAGAATGATTGATTCCGTTCTTCTGGCACTCTTCTTGCCCTGCCTCGGCATGAGCGCCGTCTTCATGGTCTACATGTGTCTTCTCTGGTACGCCACTACCCACCGCCCTCAAGTCGCGCTGCCGTCGAAGCCCTCGCCGGAGAAGGGCTTGTCGGCATCGCAGCTGGAGAAGATGCCCAGAGTCACCGGGAAGGAACTTTTGATGGGGAGCGAATGCGCCGTGTGCCTCGACGAGATCGAGAACGAGCAACCGGCTCGACTGGTTCCAGGTTGCAACCACGGGTTCCATGTGGAATGCGCCGATACCTGGCTTTCCAGGCACCCTATGTGCCCGGTTTGTAGAGCCAAGCTGGATCCTCAGCTTCTGAATCCCTGCGAAAATCCCTGTTAATCAGCTCAACTCTCCCAGATTCAACCCTCGCCGCCGGTGTCGCCGTTGGGGTAAAATTAGCCATAAAACAGAGTGAAACCAGCTGGTTTCTCTTAGCTCTGTCTGCGTTGTGTAGAATTAAGTTGTAAGTGGTGTGTTTTTTTGGTTTTGGAGGAATGTAGCCGTGAAAAAATTCATGTTTCTGGGATTGTGACATTGATTTGCCGATTATGGGTGTGGCGGCGGAAGATCCATGGTCTGATTGATTGATTGTAGATGTTTTCAGAGTTTCAGTTTTCATTTATTGATGAATTTAGCAGGTTATTACTTAAGAACATGGTGATGCTGTTGTTGGAAGCACAAAAATAGCTATAAATCTTTGAAGGGTTCCAGAATTTTCATATCTGAAAAGGAAAATGAAATCGAAGTTTAAGAGTGAGTGGTGTGGATGAGAGAGAAAGAGAGCGGGGTATTCACGCGAACACATGTAAATCCACAAAATGGTTAACCTGGTGGTTTCCTTGAAGGCAAGTGGAGGGGGTGACTATCTCTCGTGTGCTTTCCCATGAGAAGCAGTCAGATTCTGATTTTTGATTTGGTTTTACTTAAAAGCACCAACTCGATGCCAGCTGCTATATTTCCTTTTTTTGCCTTTACTACCATTCAATTCATTCACTCCTTTTGAACCATCTTCCTCTTCGTAAATATTAAGTCTTTTTTTTTTGGTTGCCCAATAAATTTGTCGGAATTTTATTCCGACTATATTTGAATCTGACTCGTGTCATAAACCTGACTGAAATAGGTGAGTCTTTCAACGAAGATTTCTGCATATGTTGAGACTCGAATTCGAGATCTTACTTAAGCGGTACCAAACCGTTTATCACGTAGATCAATCCCGTTAATATAAGCTAAGTCATTGTTAAAATCTATGGAAGAAAATTACTCTGTTCACACATGGCCCGTCGCACGCGCTCATTTTCTATACCGGCAAAAGCTAGCCCAAGTTCTCATCATGAAACGCGAGGACGGATGAAATTGGTCATAATAATGGAGGGTTGTGATTTGGGGTTTGGTTGTGTTAATGTGGGGAAGCTCATTAATTGTGTTCTGGTAGCCATTTGACTAATGGGTGCATTAGCGGATTAGCTGCCAACATCAGCCCCCTCCGTGGCTGTCTGATAGCATGCGGTGCATGCGGCTCACCACTTTAATTTTGCCCAACCCAGTACGTTTTGCTTTGAATTCTATATTCCCAATTTTTAATTACCACGATGAATGGAAAATAAAAATAAAAATTAGAATAGAATTACAATTCACTTAAAGCTTTTTGTGTTGTAGTAAGATATAGACAAATGTGTTTTTGTGTGTCTTGTACCGTTTTTTGTAATTTTAAGGGGGTCTATAAAGAACTTGTCTATTAGTATGATAAGACCTTCTTACCGTCTATTTTCAGCGAGCGGTGGAAAACTTTGTCATTGTTAGTAAGTCGGTGAAAGCTAACCTATAATTTAGTTCAATGGAGGGAAACCCTGTCAGTGAGCCTGTGACTGGATATTTTCTAGATGTAGGGTAGAAATATTCTCTAAAAGTTTTTTTGAAACAAAATTCTTATAACAAAATAAAGTCGCAAGGTGTACATTGACATGCTTGGAGAATATGAAACAAATAAGAAAGTGTCACGTGGAGCCTAATTAGAAGAACAAAACTGGTGATACAATATGCTCCCTTCTTATAAAATAATTACTTTATATTTACTTAATACTTTTACGCAACATGAAAATAATCATTATTAATGCGTCATGCATTCCTATTTAACTAAATTAAATAAACTAATAAAATTAAATAAATTATTTAATTATAATAAATGTGATATGATTTATCTAAAATACTCATATATAACATCAGATTATGTGATAATTTATAAATTATATAAATTAGTTTAGACAAAATAATAAATTTAATAGACAAAATAGACTGAAAAGACTAAATTTAGTCCCAAACCAGTCCATGTGGCAAGAACTGGTTGAAGTATAATTTATTTTATTAACAGCCATTATCACTTACCCACACTAATTTTTTTAATATATATATATATATATATATGTATGTATGTATCCATCACTAGGAGCTGTTGGTGGAAATAGACTTGCCCACCTGACGTTATTTTCGTGTGTCATGATTAATTATAATTAATTTAAAAAACCATGATATGTCCAGCAATAAAGGCATGGGGTCAGCAACATAATGGAGTGACATGTCCCAATTAAGAATTAGTATTAGTGTTGATGGCGATTTGATTAAGCTAAGGTTGGTTGGCCTACAGTACACACCTCTCTCCTAATTAATCACATCGTCAATAAATACGAAACAAATGTTAAAAATCTCACATGCCTAACCAGTGTTGTTTTCTCCTGCATAGCATTGTCCCGCCGATATGCTGCCACGTGGATATCAAGAAAGGGGGGAAATATTTTCTGTTTTGGCTGTGCTTATCCTCTCCTAAATAAATTATAACCAACACTTTCCATTAGGGATCTCCCATCGCCTTGTTTTATGTTTCTTTTTAATAAAAAAACAAAAAGGAAGAGTTCACTGCCTTTTAATAAAATAAGTACACACCATATCCCAACAGAGAATGCTTCCATGGTCCGCAACAGTTAATTAATTAGATGGCGCATTTGTTATTTTTAAATATGTGACCTAATTGATACGGGTGATTTGATCCTTTATAAATACTACCTTCGGTTTTAATTATAAGAGCTAATTGACTAATTTGAGAAAATTAAAAAAAGAAGTTAAATTAGTTATTTATAATAAATATATGTTATCTTTCTTGTCTTTTATTTAGGATCAAAATAAAAGTCAAACAGGGTCTTACATTAAGAACAGGAGATAGTAGTATATTTATTACCTAAAACTTTAGAGTCAAACCAACATCAAGAACATTTATTCCTCAACACCTGATCAAAGGTCTAGTGGGCATGTGACTTATCGACTCGCCTCAGACTTTTTCTTTAATTTTCACGTATTAATTACTTCGATGTCATTTAAAATAGAAGAAATTATCATGGCAAACATCTCAAATGTTTCTAATGAGAACTCTAAAGAAAAGTGCAAAAACTAAAATTTTTTTATAGCATATACATATTTTTGTTTCCACGTCAATCATGGGAATCATAGATATTTTATTTCAATTCAGGAATCTAGAGACTAAAATAGCAATGAAATTTAGATATGTGAATGGATGTTTGGAAGTGATTTGAAATTCAAAAGTACCATGAAAAATTTTCATGGAGAAAAATGCTTCATCCCCTAATCTTATCACACGTCATCATGTCTCTACAAATTGTGTGATAATCGCAGCTTTATGCATCACCTTTTCCTTATCTATGAAATTCGAATAAGACATGACCTCTCAAGCTCTGGTGTATATTTTCATTTGATATGAGTATATATGTGACTGGAAGACGAACCGTGACCTTTAATTTAATAAATAAGAAATGTAAAATTAATCACCACCAACAACTTGATCCCTATAGATTTGAATCTAATCTTTCAAAATTTTCTTCATGCATCTCATTATATCTTGTACAGTTTTTTTTATTCCCTTGATATTTTTTCTATATATTTCGGCCAAGCTGCGCTATACTTTAGAGAACAGGTTTATTTGTCCTTACCTTTTTTATTTTTAATGATTTTTCCTGTGAAATGTTCTTTTTTCTTGTCTAGAATTAATTCTCTTCAAAGGCACGTCTTTTAATTCCCCAACAAATAATAATCAATGATTTATCAATTACATCAAACATTAGCGAGTCCAGGTCTGAGAGAAATATTTCATTGGGAGTTAGGATCGATTCCAGTAAAAAGAACTTGTCGGATAACAAATATTAAATGAAATTAGAGGAATCTGTCTGTATTTATTTTTTCTCATTCGAAACTTATAGGTAATATTTCCCCTTAAATTTTTATAAAGCGACAGAGAGAGAAGATGACGTCCAGCTATGAGAGAGAGCGGATAAAATTGACAAAGGCGGGGATTGCTATTTTACAAAAAGCAACGTCATCATTGCACCATATCCCCAATGGAATCTATTTTCACTCTTTTATTTTGTTATCTGAAACTACAAAAGAGCGCGAACACACACACACACACACTGGCTTTTCTTGTTTTTAAGTGTATTTGTTGGTAATAGGTGATATGCCTAACGCCAAACTTATCTACGGCGGCCTTACGATATTTGGGGAGCCGAGATTTAAGGTAGGCGAGCTTTTCCGCTCTATTCATTGAATTAATTATATGGTTGCTTTTGCTTTTTTGGCTTTTGCCGTCTAATTATATGGTTGTTTAAATTTGCGACTTTGTTACTCACATTTAGGCTATGTTTGGGTGCTCCAAAACCATGGTTTCAGAAGTACTTTTCCGCAAAACGAGGTAATCTCCTCCACATATTTACTTCGTAATCCGTAAAAGCACTTCTGAAACCATGGTTTGGTTTTTATCCAAACACTCCCTTAAATTAACATTTCAAACAAGTTTCACATCAGTTAGGTCTCTTGTACTTGGCACGTTCTTGAACTGATCCGGACAAGTTTTGGTACGATTCGGACAAGATAAAGCACAGACCCAAAAAAAAAAAAAATCAAAGAAACAAAGATGATAATGTTAAAGGGTGAAACGGTAAAAGGGTCCAATTTGAAAAATAAAAGACACGACGATGGGGGGAGGATAAATGTGTGAAGCTACCAACGTTATACTATTGAGCTGATCGGAATAGGTCAGATAATTTCACACGACTTTACTGTTCTGTTCATATTTTACCCCCTCCCTTTCAAGAGAGAATTTTACATGTGCGTATATTTTTTAATCAAAATTTTGTACGTATTTTTCATAAGTATAATAATTTTTTCCAGATATGTGACGCCATAAAGTAGCAAAAAGTCAGTGGCCCTACGCTATAATGCAGAGTTTCATAAATTTCAATGATAAGAATGGTGGGTATGATCTTTAAGATTTTTTTTTTCTTTTACCTACTATTTTACAAAATATTTTTTTAAAGTGACATGTCGTTTTACAGGGACCGCACACGATGATTCAGTGTTCCTCGAAAGAGTTAAACGAAAAAGGGGAAACCTTAGGAAAGGAAGTGATGATAGCGTTGTATGAATCATGTGAGGTGAGGGAGGTTGTGGGGGGTGGTGGCTGGCCTGACAAGGAGACAAAAAAAATATATTCAGAATATTGAAATTATGCGATCTGCAAGTAGTAGAGAGATAGCTCGCTCACTGAGAACACAGCCGGAATTAATGGATGAATCAAAATGAGAATACTTTGCTTTCGTTTTCGGCCACTTTAAGGAGAACCATTTTCCAAGGTTCATCAATTATGTCTCCGTACGACGTAGTTGCAGCAGGTTGGGCTGCTAGACAGATTCGTGTGCTACCCATTTTCATTCGTTGTTTTGCTTTTTGTCATATTTTGCTCCTATCCTGTCCACTTGTTTGACCACTTTAATCTCATCAGCTTGCATCCC